GTTTGTCCGCCCCCCGGCCTGCCTCCTGGGTCATACTGACCCTACATGCCAGGATGCACCGAGCACAGAGAGGACAGTGCGGAGAGAGCGGGGGAGGAGAAACTCCTCACTCTGAGGCCTGCGCTGTCTCCGCGGGAGCCAGTCAGCAACACTCTCTCTCTCTCTGATCTGCCAGCTCGAGAGGATGTTCGGGTCCAGTATCCCACTGGCAGGTATCACCTCGTGAGTAGTTATCCATACTTTGCTGCTTTCATGTGCTTTCACCTGAATAAATGCTCCATGTAGTCACCTCATTCTGGTGTGATTATTGCTGAATCCCAAGCCCATCTGGAACAGTCGTACAAACATTTGTGAGGCCACACTGTAAAGTGGATCACTGTGAACAGATAAACTGCCAAAAACAGTACCCTGAAAACCTTCACACTGAGAAACATAGAAAGTGTTTGATGATGAAGTTAACCAACCAACTCCCAAATCAGGTCCATTCTTTGGTAGTTTTTTTTTAGAACAGTTTCCTCCTTTCCTGCCCACCATGCCACTTGTCTTTTAAATCACAAATTCCACTCCACACCTGCACTGTGATGGCTTCATAGAGTGAGGTATGTAAAGGTTTGGAAGACAACAAAAATGACAGAGTAACGGCTTCACTTTTCTCTAAGGACATGGTTTTAAGATTATATTTTTGCATTTATGGTATATATTCTCCACAGTTTCCTGCTATTTAAGAATTAAATAAATAGCAGTTTTGAAAATGCAGTGAAGCACCAAGAGGAATGAATCCTGGGGCCATGGCTTGCTGGTGAGCTGCTAAAAACATAGTGAAGAACATAGTTGGGAAGAACTGGAAGGGGACTGAGATAAAGTTTACAGAAATAATAAACAAAAGCATAATTAAAGTAGAAAGTAACTATTAGAATCTAAACAATAATATAAACTTTATTTTGGTTTCATGTGTCATCCTTCCTATTTAAATACTGAAAAAGATTAAACAGAGCATAATTTTTAAATGTAATGTAACTTAATGAACAACAAAAAAATCCTGCTCTATTGAAATCAGTTGCAAAAGTTCAAATTCTAATAGTACACACCCCAAAAAATTTTGAAATATTTAATATGTTTAGGACCAGAAGCAGTTAGAAGTATGCAATTAGGATGTAGCTAAAGAATAATATTTAAATTGTGCTATCAAAATTCAGAAGTGGCAAAGCACCTACTTGACTTGGTTCAACGATAAATCCAGCTATTGTTTTTGGCACACAGGTATTCAGAGTTTCTTGGAACTGTTCAATATACTGGTCCTTTGCATGACACACACCTGTTTATATGGAAGACAGTTTAGAGAGAGCTGACTTAAAATGAGATGAGAGTAATTTTAAAATATGACATTGCATATCTAGTTTGTAGTCTTGCTAATGGAAATAAAATTTCAGACTGAGCTTTCTGTTTCTCAGAAAATATCTTTGATGGTAAAACACTTCTTGCATGTTTTAATATTCCAGATCAAGGAATAATAATTAAAAATAAAAATTAAAAAAAAATCTCCTAAACCATTTACACTGTAAGAAGCACCAGTTCCAAAACAGCAAGGCAAAGCTGCTGCACAATAGATGCTACCCAACATAGATCAATAAAGTCTAAATTAGAGAAAATGTTTGTGAATTATCTACCGCAAAAAAAAAAAAAGAGCAAGTGATCAGTTTTTCATGGGCTAATAAATATCAGAATAAGACACAGCAAACTGTCAAGACTAGAGAATGCAGCAGCCCATCAGTCCGTACTGTAACAAAGAAGGCAGATATTAGTGCAGCTCATCCTCTCATTCACTGGAAAGGGCAAAAAATAAAAATAAGAAAACCTTTTGTTCTGTATTTGAGGTAAAATACTAGAGTGCTTGCTGAAACAGTGAAAAGAGTATTGTAAATATTGTAAAGTATTGCAACTGCTGTTTACAGGGCAGCAGCAGAGAAGCTTTCGCATTGTGCTGCATATGGAACGTTACCTGAGATTCACTGCAATATTTTATTCAGCTGTCTGCAAATCCAAATCTATTGGAGCAAAAGGACCAGGGGTCCTATAGATGAATGCTTATCTTTCCTGAAAAGTTAAGTGAATATGCCCCAGGGCATATGGAAACCACAGCTCTGTACTACCTTCTAATCTCAAAAACAAATACTTTTTGTCATTGACCAACCTTCAGAACAGCTGCATTTTCGAATAGTTTGCACTGGAGAATCTCTGCAGTGGCTGCCTCCCCATGGACCACGAAAAACATCTGGCAACATTGTCTGTCAAGCATAAAAGAAATAGCTACAGATTTTATGACATTGTCTTTCTAAGAGAGATGTTGATCATACCTAGAGATGACTCCAAGGAAGAAAGTTAAAACAGTCTGCCAGCATCAAACATCTGTGAAATAACGCCAGGCATGCCCAAAGAGAAGAACTCTGATGGGAGGTAGAAGAGAGACAGAGGTTTTTTTTCTGGAGAGGAAGAAAAAAAAAAATCCCTGTTTGACCATTCCAGCAGCAGTCACTCAGTTGATGACTTCCTTTGCTCGTAAGTCAGTTAGTTACCAATTGCAGCTATCTAAATAACAGGGAGGGAAAGGGGACTCCATCTCTCACTTTGCTTACCCAGCAGAAACGCTACAGTTCAGTTAATGAAGCACTTGCTAAAGGTTGAAATGCTAAAATAAACTGTTAGACACACAGATTATTAAAAAAAAAAAAAAAAAAAACTCACTTTGCGCAGCCAAAGACACTGGAAAAGTCATGCTTATAGTAACCAACAGATCTCACTCCCAGCGTGTAGGAGCTGCCTCTGTGGTACGCTCCTCTGCAAACACAAAGCACAAGATCAGCACACATGTCTGAGAGGAACCTGTAGCAATATCAGTGCTGACAGGGCATGCCTCCGAGCTAAACATCATGGAGGAAAGTGTACGCCACTGCTCTCAAAACAATTAGATTCCTACTGCCAGTTTTTACTGTGATTGGGGAATATTTGCTGCTACCCATCTGCAACATTTCCTGCAATGGCAAATATTAAACGAGGAGCTGATGTTCCCAAAGGGAGAAGAAACAGACTGGGATCAGCGGTAATTCAGACAGGCTTTTGGCAGCCTCTTCTCCTGCAGCTATGCTGCAGCACCTGAGCCCCAGGGGATAAGCATCTCCATTCCTTGCATCTTGGGAACTTCTGCTCTCTCAAGACAGATGTTGCCAATCATTACATTACCTGGTGGATTAATGCTAGTTTTATACACAAATCAGAAATTCACCAAGGGGATGTGGAAGAATTGTTTGAAAGCAGGAACTGAGAGGGCCTAACCGAAGTTTTGGCATTACAAAAGCTTGCTTGGGGGGATACACAGTTGCCACTTTCAGGATGGTTGGTACATATGGACTCTGCTCCTCCACAGTTCCCTAGGCAACACAATCTGCCCTCCTCGCAGCTGCAAAGGGGAGTAACAGAGGATGGAGCAGAGTGAAGACACCGCGGCCAAACTCTGTTGCACTCCCTGTGCTGGGCTGCTGAT